CTTTGGCAAGTCCCATGGTTCACATGACCTTTATAAAGTGAGGGACCTTAGCAGACCTGGATGAGTTAGCCCAGCATGTAAACTGGGTTTTTAAGATGTATAAATAGGAAAAACAAGTTCACCACAGGGGCAAAGAAAATCCAAAGCAGAGAGGTGTGTGTGGGGCGGGATCCTTCTGCTCTCAGAGGAAACCAGCCTGCTGGTATCAGACTGCAGAACTGTGATGTGCATTCCTATAGTGTAAGCTACCTCTTCTGTTGTGCTGTTCTGATGACTGCCTTCAGATGCAGTATCTAAGACCACCACATCTCCTCATTCCTTTCTAAGAGTGTACTGGGGCTTGAACCCAAGGCCTTGAGTTACCAACCCTGAGCTATAGTTTTTTTGTTGTTTTGACACAGGTTCTCTCTATGTAGTCCTGCCTGGCCTGGAATTGGCTATATTAAGAGTAGGCAGCCTAAAATTCACAGAGATCTATGAATGCTGGGCCAACAGCTCAGGCTTGTTACTAGCTAACGATACATTTTCAATTAACCCATATTTCTTATCTATGCTTTGCCACATGGCTCATAGCTTGTAACCTCATTTTCTACACATCCTGCTTCCTGTGCATCTGCTGGTGTCTCCTCTGAAACTCCGCCCCTCTTTCTTCCCAGTCCTTAGTTTGATTGTCTGGCTTGTACTTCCTGCCTGGATATGGGCCAATCAGCTTTTTATTAACAATGAGAGCTACACATTTTACAGTGTATGCGATTATTCCACAGCAGGACCCTCTTCAGTTCTTTTTTCTTTTTTTAAACAAACTTTTTTTTTATTATTTGAAAATTTCATACATGCATAATAAATTTTAGTAATTTTTCATCATTATTCCCCCTCATTCCCCTTCCTACTCCTGCTGAAATCCTTTCTTCTCTCAAAGCCCCCACTTTGTGTTCTTTTAGTGTGTGACCCACTGACTTTAATTAGGGCTGGATTTAATTAATGAGCATGGATGGGAGGCTATTTACTGGAACATGGGCAACTGTCCTAGTTTGGTGTCTGTTGCTGTGATAAAAGCATTGGGCAAAGCCAATTTAGGGGATGAAGGAGTTTATTTGGCTTACATTTCCATGTCACAGTCCATCATCAAGGGAAGCCATGACAGGAACCGGGAGGCAGGAACCAAAGCAGAGACCCCACACTGATTCTGCTTACTGGATTGCTTTCATGGCTTGCTCAGCTTACTTTCTTATACCACCCAGGACCAGCTTCCCAGGCGTGGCACTGCCCACATTTGGCTGGGCTCTCCTGCATTAACCATTAATCAAGAAAATACCCCACAGACAGGTCCAGAGGTCAGTCTGTGCAGGCAAAACCTCAATTGGGCTTTTCTCTTCCCAGCTGATTCTAGTTTGTGTCAAGTTGACAAAAGTCAACACACAACTTTTCAGTAGCTACAGCAATGGAGAGCGACACCCCTTCCCTAGTCATCAGTGGTCCATCAGGGAGGGATGAGGTCTCATGAGCTCTTCCCCCTTCCATGATGCAATAAGGGCAAGTCATGTCACATCCAGAAGGTACCTTTTTGCAACACACTTCCCCATCCTCTAGCTCCTCCATTCTTTCCACCTCCTCTTCTGAATGTTCCCTGAGCCTTGAAGAGGGTTCTCTAGATGACTCCCTGCCTTTTTGGGACAGGATGTGCTGGCTATTCTTGATTGTTAACCTGACATCTGGAATTAACTAAAACCCAAATGACTGGGCATACCTGTGAGATTCCTTTCTTCCTTTCTCCCTTCCTTCCTCCCTCCCTCCCTCCCTCCCTCCCTCCCTCCCTCCCTCCCTCCCTCTCTCTCTCTCTCTCTCTCTTTCCTCCTCCTTTTTCATTTTGCTGTTTTGTTTGTTGGTTGGTTTGTTTTTGAGACAGGGTTTCTTTGTGTAACCCTGGCTATCCTGAAACTCACTCTATAGATCAAGCTGGCCTGATTCAGAGATCCACCTGCCTCTGCCTCCCCAGTGCTGGAGTTGAAAGCATGCACCATCAAGCTTGGCTTAGATGATCCAAGTAGTATCAAACAGTTACTTTTTAGTTCTTTTGTTTTTGTTTTTCCGAGACAGGGTTTCTCTCTGTAGACCAGGCTGGCCTCAAACTCAAGAGATTCGCCTGCCTCTGCCTCCTGAGTGCTGGGATTAAAGGTGTGGGCCACCACTGCCTGGCTAAGATTTTGATACTTTTTTTTTTTTTTTTTTTTTTTTTTTTTTTTTTTTTTTGGTTTTTCGAGACAGGGTTTTTCTTGTAGCTTTGCGCCTTTCCTGGGACTCGCTTGGTAGCCCAGGCTGGCCTCGAACTCACAGAGATCCGCCTGGCTCTGCCTCCCGAGTGCTGGGATTAAAGGCGTGCGCCACCACCGCCCGGCGATTTTGATACTTTTAAGTGGATGGAAAACAAACAATGGTTGATGACATAAAATCCCGATGTTCGGGCTGGAGAGATGGCTCAGAGGTTAAGAGCACTGGCAGCTCTTCCCGAGGTCCTGAGTTCAATTCTCAGCAACCACATGGTGGCTCACAACCATCTGTAATTTGATCTGGTCCCCTCTTCTGGTGTGTAGGCAGAATACTGTGTACATAATAAATAAATATATCTTTAAAAAAAAAAATCCCGATGTTCGATGTTCATAAATGTTTGATCATTGTAAGGCCCTGCCTGGAGGCACGTGAGTGGCCAGGCCCCACCCCTCCAGACACAGGCAGCCAAGCTCTGCCCTACAGAGAAAAAACCCCAGGCTCAGGACCTGAAAACCCACCAATCCCCACCCTGGAAATCCATGCCCCACAAGAAACCCTATATAAACCCTGTGTTCTGCTCAGTTCTCTGCTGCTTCTCACCTGAACAGAGGCAGCCACTCTCCTGGATTTTTCCCTCCCAATCTCCGTGTGAGGATTGTTGTGTGGAGTGACTTTGTGGTATTCCTTGGCTCCCAATTGCCAGGATACCTTTCCCTTCAGAGCTGTAACACTTGCATTGAGGAAACTGTCTTCCTCAGAGCTGTAACACTGACCATTGGAACACAGGCACTCTCATTTGTGTATTTTTTTTTTGGGGGGGGGAGGTTGTGCTACTATTAGAGTTGAACTGTGCTACAGAGACCATCTGGCCGATGGGTTTGAATCACTCAGGTTGGTGAGAGCAGGCTCAATGGGTAAGGGCACCTGCCTCCAAGCCTGACTACCTGAGTTTGATCTCTGGGACCCACATGATGGAGAGAACCAACTCCTGAAAGTTGTCCTTACCCCTCCACCTGTGTGCTGGGGCACAAGAACACACACACACACACACACACACACACACACACACACATGCACGCACGCACCCATGCAGTTGTTTTCTTTTTTAAAGGCCCTGATGGTATGACCCCTTCAAACTTAGACCCCCCACCCGCAGCCTCCAGAGCCATGAGCTCTACCAATCACCTCATCTGCAGTGTTTAGTGCAGTCGAACTGGTGACCCTAGAGACGCCATCCTGAGCTACTGCACTAGCTGAGAGGTGGCAGCAGTTACTGAGACAGACAGCTAGGGAATAAACAATTCAGGGTTTTTAATTTTTGTTTTTCAAGAGAGTTTCTCTGTGTAACAGCCTGGCTGGCTGTCCTGGAACTCACTTTGCAGATCAGGCTGGCCTCGAACTCACAGAGATCTTCCTGCCTCTGCTTCTCGAGTGCTGGGACTAAAGTGTTTATCACCATGCCTGGGTACAAATTCAAGTTTTAAAAAAAATTATGTGTATGTTTTGCTTGGATGTATGTCTGTGTACCATGTCTGTCTGGTGCCTGTGGAGGCCAGAAGAGTATTAGATCTCCTCAAACTGGAATTATGGATGGTTGTAAACTGCCACATGGGTGCTGGAAATTGAACCTGGGTCCCTTGGAAGAGCAGCCAGTTCTTTTAATGACTCTATCATCTCTCCAGCTCCCAAATTCAGATGCTTGCTGGGCTTTGATCTTACTGCAGAGGGGTGAGATAACAGACGGACAAGCTCTAATGACCTTAGGCTTCTGACCTACTTTTATCTTTTGGTTGTCGTGGTGTTGGCGATGGAACCCATGGCCTTATATGTGCTAAACACATGGTTTACCACTTGGCTGTCCTCAACTTTGAGGGTTCCTAAATGGGGCCTCAAGGACTAAACACGCTAAGATTTACCAAGAACGGTTCCTTCCACCCATGACTTGACAGGAACACCTAGGGCGTAGGTTCAAGGACGCTGCTCATCTTCTAAGCTGAAGGGTAGAGGACAGAGCTGATCTGGTGGTCAAAGACGCTGCTCAGCTCCTATGGCTTCACCTCTCTTCCTTTTACTGAGACTTGGTCCCATGAAGCTCAGTTTGGCCTTTAACTTGATGGTAGTTGGAGAACCTTGACTCCTAACTTCCGGCCTCTGTTCCTCACAAGCTGGGACAACAGGAATGTGCCATCACGTTCCCTGGTAGTTTGCCACTTTGCTCATAACACAGTCATTCACTGGAGTTGATGGTGCTTAACAACACTACTACACTTCAAAAAATACCGTACAGCTGGGTATGGGGGCGCCTTTAATCCCAGCACTCAGGAGACAGAGGCAGGTGGATCTCTGTGAGTTCCAAGACAGTCAGGGTTACACAGAGAAACACTGTCTCGAAAAACAAAAAAAACCAAAAAACAAAAAATCGTACTGAGGGCTGGGAGATGGATAGCTCCGGGAGATGCTCCGTTGGTAAAGTCTTTGCAAAGAAAGCATGGGAACCAGAACTACCTAATCCATAGATCTTATGAACCATGTCAGAAAGCTGAGTATGGTGGCATGTGCTTCAAATCCCAGCACAGGGGAAGGAAAAAAAGGTAGCTTGGGGTTTGCTGTTGAATTCCAGGCCAATGAGAGACAAGGTGGACAACCACCCCCACCTCTCTCCCTCTTTCCCTCTCCCCCACCCCCTCTCTCACACACACACACACACCCCTGAAGAAAAAGGCTTATTCAGGCAAAGTAGAAAATTTTTACTAAAGTGACACATTATACACTTAAAATTACACATTTTTGAGGAGAAAGGGAAATTAAAATGCACTGCTATCTTTTTTTACTTGTTACGTGAATGAACTTCAGGCCTCTCCTACAGAATGAGGAAAAACAATTCCTGAGGTCACTCTAGTGCTGCTAAGTTACAAGTCAGGACATGTTAGAAGGGAGGAGAGTGCACTTATTTTAGTAGCACGCTTAGCATATAGCTGACCTAATGTTACAAATGGCCCCTCCTGAAGGCAGCTTGTTTCTGTCTGTCTTGCAGACCTCACATGTCAAGGACATGTTCACTGGTCTGCTCTGTGACACTGGAAGCCATTCCACTCCCCTGCCACCTCCCTGCCACCTCCCTGCCACCTCCCTTCCCAGGCCAGAGTGTAGGGGTGATCTCTTCCTCTTCCCACCACAGCCATTGATTCTTTTGAGAAAAGATCTCATCCTAAACCTCGAGCTCATGGCAATCCTCCTGCCTCCTAAGTGCTGTGATTGCAGGTGTCAGCCAGCAGATCTGGTCACAATTATCACGTGGTAAGGACTGTGGACCTTCCTTGGGTCCTTTACTTTCTGCGATGCAAAAACAACCCTGCTCCCTAAGGCGGCACTGGCACCAGCAGGTCTCCGGCCAGCCCAGGGACCATTTCAGCAGAGCAGAGCCCCAGGCTGAAGAACACAACAAAATGGTCGAGGCCCTCCGATGGTTTGGATGCTAAACAATAGAAGGAAGACAGGTTTCACATTCATGGAGTTAAAGATTGGGAAAGGAGCCGGGCGGTGGTGGCTCACGCCTTTAATCCCAGCACTCGGGAGGCAGAGGCAGGTGGATCTCTGTGAGTTCGAGGCCAGCCTGGACTGCCAAGTGAGTTCCAGGAAAGGCGCAAAGTTACACAGAGAAACCCTTCTCCAAAAACCAAAAAAAAAAAAAAGATTTTTAGCCGGGCGGTGGTGGCGCACGCCTTTAATCCCAGCACTCGGGAGGCAGAGCCAGGAGGATCTCTGTGAGTTCGAGGCCAGCCTGGTCTACAAAGCGAGTTCCAGGAAAGGCGCAAAGCTACACAGAGAAACCCTGTCTCGAAAAACCAAAAAAAAAAAAAACCAAAAAAAAAAAAAAAAAAAAAAAAGATTGGGAAAGGAGAGAGATTGGCTTCATTAATTTAACAAAACAAAGGAAGGTGCATAAAATGTTCTTATGCTTCAAGTCAGCTGAATCACTGACACTCGGCTGCCAATGGAAGGCATTCTCAGATGTTAATTTCTTGGGACTGAGGTATAATGATTAATTCCACAAGGCCCGATTCTGATAAAAAGCAACAGTTATAGAAAAGCTGAAAACAATTACACATGGAAATACAGATGGGTTGGTCTCTATATTGTTTTGAGACAGAGTCTTGGTATACAGTCCTGGCTGTCCTTGAACTCACAGAGGTCCACCATAGTCAGATCTTCAGATCTAGGAACAGATGGACATTGGCACCCCTTTTTGCCTATGGTGGCTGTATTTCCAGGAAGGTTGGGTATTTTGTGACAGGAGTGTGTACAAGTTGCTACAGGAACAGTAATCATGCTGTTACCATTTTCAGTTTCTCTCCCCAGTGGTGGAGATCAACCCAGGGCCCCGAGAGAGAAGAGCAGGGACTTGACCACTGAGCCATGCCCACAGCCCCATGCACGCTTTGCTTATGATCTATAGACTCCAGATGCTAAAGAAAGGATCCCAAAATGGCACATAAGCCACGTTTCAAGGCAAAAAGGCACTAGCATTTAAGTTTTTACCTTACCAGTAAAAAACAGTTCCCTTTACCATCTTCAAAATGTGAATTTGGTTTTAAGATAGTCAAGTGCTCTATGGCGTCAATGATTTTACTGGAAGTACCAACACAAGGAAAAATTGTTATAGAATCAATTTTAATTAATGCTTCTAGATATTTTCTTTTGGAAGATGAAGGGAATGAACTAGCTAGCTAAAATGGTACCTGGGCTTTTTCTTGGTCAAGTTGTCTCATAGAAGATCAGCATCATTTGGGGATCTTAGTCCTCAAACCAGGTGGGCACTCTGTGGTAACAAATAGGTGGGGTCCCAGGTGGGTGAGGGGACCCCAGGCACCAAATAAACACTGCCTTGGTACTATTCCCAAGGCAGAGGGCTCAGTGGAGAGATTCATGTTTGTGTGACACTCAAGGCCCACAAACTCCACAGGGGCCAACTGGTTGGCCTTGAGCCAGTGGAGAAAAGCTGTCCCCAGCAGGAAGTATGAGATGACAGAAGGTGGGGAAGGAGGGCTCATCCAGTTTCCACACACTTGCAGGTGTCATGTCCAACAGTCCTGGTCTGAATCCGTCTACTGAAATAAGGAAAAGAAGAGAAGACAGGAGGGGGGTGGGGTGGAGGGGGTTGGAGTAATGAAGGCAATACATTCCACTTCTGGATCTCATGGGTCCTTTTCAGGGGAGAGAGCTACAATGTACTCAGTGTGTGTGCAGGCATGTCAACAATGACTGACATATGAGGATGTGGAAGGAGCCTTCCTTCTGCCACAAACCCAGGGTCCCTTCACATCTGAATTCACAGTAAGGCCTTGGAGTGAGAGACTCAGCAAATGAGCAAGCAGAAGGCAGTAGTTACGAGACTGACACCTGCCCACATCTTTGCAGACACTCATGGAAGAAAAAAATGCCATGTTCTCTTCTCTGTCCAGCACAGTAATCAAAGGCTCAAGGCGCTCACAATTGGTCTGCCATGTTTAGATTACAACTCAGCAGACAGCTCACAGAACTGTAGCGATGCTGATCTCACCAAAATGTGGAACACACACATTTTTTTCCCCATTGAAACTAAAATTTCTTAAGACCCACATCTGAACACACATGTTAATTACATACTGTGTAATCAATGACATTTCTTAGGAGTTTAAAAGAGGCTTTTGAATCTTTTCATCACAACGGAGGAGAATTCCTTTTCAGTTTCTTTATAGTTGCCGAACTTTTTTTTCTGTGCTTTTTATATTGATATCTAACTTGTCCACTTTGGTTGTTAGCCGGTCAAGAATGTCGTCCTGCTCCTCAATTTCCGTCTGCATTCCTAAGGCTATGTCCTTGAGTCGGCCCAATCCCATGGAGAGCTCATCTGTGAGAAGGAAGTGATAGGCAGTCACAGTATCCACAGGTGCTTCCTGCCCTTCTGGATGCTCAGCGGCATCTGGATTGGCATCTGGATCGCAGTCCTGTCTAAGAGACTGAGTGCCACAGCTTGTAGCATATGTTCTCAAAATACACAGAAGTGAAGAGAAATCCACTTACTCCATAGTAATATGTGGTTAATGTAGGCAGAAGCCATTGCATCTCCTCCAGATAACCATGGTTAATACGTTTGTTTGTTTGTTTGAGCATAGTCTTGATAGACAGCTCTGGCCACCCTGAGACCCACTATGTAATCCAGGTTGGCCTTGAAGTCACAGTGATCCCCCCCACCCCCACCCCCGCTTCTGCTGGCTGAGAAGAGTATAGGGTCACTACCACATACAGCATTTCCCCCCTTAGTCCTGGAGAATCAAACCTAGGGCCTTCATGTGCTAGGCAAGCACTCTGACACTGAGTCACATCCCCAGTCTCTTTGTATTTTTCATGTTGAGACAGGATCTCACTAATTTTCCAGGCTGGCCCTGGATTTGCAATCCTCCTTGTCTAGCTGGGATTACAGGTGTCTGCCACTCAGCCTGGCAGACCATGTACGCTTCCTGAGGTCTTTGAAACCTGTGGCCTTGGGTTTCCTGGAAAGCAAACGTTTAGTGGTCACTCACCCAGGCCTCATGAAACTTCTTGGGTTTGAGGACATAAACATAGGAAAACATGGCTGAAATAAAACAGCCTGGTAGGGACATGCCTCAGTGGGTAGGAGCACTTGCTCAGCTAGTATGAGGATCTGAGTTCAGATCCTTCGCACCCACATAAGCCATGTGTGTGGCTTTATCCTGGGTGCGCTTGAGCCCCAGGGATGCCTAGGTCTGGTCAGAAGTCAAGTAAGCAGTGAGGATGGCTGGACTGATGCAGGAGATGGAGACCAGTGGACAAGTTCCTGAGAGTGAGGCAGTGAGACGGGCATGACTGTGGCGTGTGACATGGTGAGGAAGCGAGGAAGCGGCTGTGCTCAGTCTGGAGGCTGCTGCGGCTTCCACACTTACCTAAGTTGCTGTCAATCTTCTGGTGATAGGCTCGAAGGCTCGAGTTCTTTGGGTAAACCTCAGTAGTCTCAGCAGAAGCAGGCCCTTTGGGGATCGGGTCTAGTTCAGAAAGAAAAACCAGAGGGACAGTTCACTGGAGGTCACTGCTCCATGAAATTGGCCCATTCTTTTACGAAGTCCTAGGAATCTGTCCCCAGGAATCTCTTCTACTAGGAAAGAACTACAGGGGTGGGAATGGGACATGTTTATAGGCTGGAGCAGTCAAGTCTGAGCTCCAGCTGGTCCCTCAACATTAGCAGATTGAGGACTCTCAACTTACAAGTCACCAGGTGAGATATGGAAAAAGACATGTATGTAACAATACAACAGGGAACTGCCAATGCAAAGCCACAGGCTCACAGGCAAGCTCTGGGAGACAGGTTGTTTTGTTAAGTTTGATTTTTTTGCTGAGGATTGAAACCAAGGCCTTGTGCATGCTAGACAAGCACTCTACTATAGAGGTATCCCACGAACCCTTCTACCTCTTAGTTGTGTATGTGTGGCAGGTGTGCACATGCGCTTTTGAGACAGGGCCTATGTTGCACAAGCTGACCTCAAACTCTTGTTATATAGACCTCAAGCTATTCCTGTAAGAGCTAGAACTACAGGTGCACGCTACTTCACCTGGCAGAGCTGGCACAGGCAGGTCTAAACACCAAAGTTGTTGAACTATGTGTGCATGCCTGTACTCTGGCACATGGAGCAAGAAGGTCAAATTTTGAGGTCACCCTCTACTAATGGATTTGGGGACTGGGCTAAACGAGACTCAGTCTCAAAAGAAACAAAACAAACATGAAACAAAGCAAAGATCAAAATCTTTGCCTGGTGTGGTGATTTGCACAAATGAAAACTGCCTTTAACGCCCTCAAATTGTGTCTTTAGATGCAGGGTTTCTCTCCACCTCTTCAGGGTGTGACATTGAAGTGGTTTTCCACGGGCCCTGTACAGTCAGTCTTCTCTTTCTCCCATGGTTTGTGCCTTTCCAGAATAAACTGTGTCTAGGTCAGTCTGTCCTGACTTGACTCTTCCTCCTTCAGGCCTCCGCCCCCCTCTGTTTGAGACAAAGTCTCCCCATGTTTTCCTAGATGAACCTGGCACTCACTATGTAGTCCAGATTGTACTCAAGGTTTCACCAATCCTCCTACTTTTGTCTCCTGAGGGCTGGGATTATAGGTGTGTCCACCATGCTCGGACACTAGGTTCTCTCTTCTATTTTTGTCAATGTGTGGTGTATATGCATACTTATGTGTGCAAGTGCCCTTGCACAGTCATGTGGAAGCCAGAGAACAGAGTCTTCCTCTACTGTTCTCCATGGTGGTTTGAATGAAAATGGCCTCCATAGGTTCCTGTAGTTGATGGAACTGTTTGAGAAGGATTAGGAGGTGTGGCCTTTTGGAGGAGGTGTGTCATGTGGGGTGGGTTTTGAGGCTTCAAAAGCCTCCCACCATCCCCAGTGCTCTCTTTGCCTCCTGCTTGTGTTCAAATGTGAGGTCCCAACTCCTCCTGCTGCCATTATAGACTCCAACCCTCTGGAATTGTAAGCCCAACCAAATGCTTTCTTTCTAAGCTGCCCTTGTCTTGGTGCTGTATCATAGCAACAGAAAAGGTCACCAGGGCATCTAACTTAGTGTCTAAGCTGAGTCGCTCATAAAGCCTGAAATTCATCACTTTGGCTCAACCAGCCAGCCAGCCAGCCAGCTGCTCAGATCCACCTGTCTCTGCCCTGCAGTGCTGGGATTACAGGTACACACAACACAGACTGGCATTTAAATGAGGGCTGGAGATTTGAACCCTGTTCTTCTAGCTTTCACAGCAATTCTCTTATCCACTGAGCCAGCTCCCTAGCCCCTCTCTTTATTTTTAAATTTTATTTTTTAGCCTTGTCTTCTCTGAGATGGTCTCATGTATCTAAAGCTGGCCTTGAACTTTCTAGGTAATCAAAGATGGCCTTGAGCGCCTGATCATTGTGCCTGTATCTCTCATGTATACCAACATGCCTGGTATGACGGTTGGTTTTAATGTCAACTTGCCACAAATTAGAACCACCTGAGTAGGAAGCCTCACTTGAAGAACTGTCCTGACTGCCTTGACTGACAAGGGCAGACTCTGGGGCACCCTCTGGTAGCCCAGATGAAGTTGATCTGCCCTGTTGCTGGGCTGTTGACCTCACTGAGAGCAGATCCAGCGTTTTCAAGCTTTCATTTGGGATGAGGGACCAGAGGCTCTGCAGGAACCTTCCAGGCTTTTGTCACTAGACTGGGATTACTGAGGCCCTGGCCTGTGCATTGAATACGTACTGGTGGTCACGCCCAGCAAGAGATATCTGTGGTAGGACTCCTCCCACTGCTGAAGGTGTCAGCCACAGGGACTGAGCAACTCTCAGGTTCTCAGCTCCCAGGTGTGACCCTGCTGTTACTATTTTAAGCTGACTCATTAAATTCTGACACACACCCACCCACACAACCACACACACACACTCATCCCTCTAGTTTTGTTCTTCTAGAGAACTCTGACTAAAACACCTAGTATTTTTGTTTGTTTGTTTTTTTGAGAGTCTGGCTATATAATCTAGAATGACCCCAAACTCAAACTCACAATCCTCCTGCCTTAGCTTCCTGAGTGCTGGGATGACAAGCATGTGCCACCATACCCGGCTTATCTTCCAACTGTGAAAGACCCACATGCTGAAAACAGGCCCAATGTGATACCCCAGAATAAATGCTCTTATCTCAAGAGGTCAGCTGATATGCCACTCTACTTATATACAAAACCACATTCTTCTGCCTTTAAAATACTCATGAACCCTGGGTGGAGGAAAACACCTCTAAGGGCCATTTTACTTACAACAGGGATTAATTTTTTTGCTTGTTTTTTTTGGGGGGTGGGGAGTGGTTGCTTTTGTTTTCTTTGTTGAGGTAGAGTCTCATATATCCCAGGCTGGCCTCAAGCCCAACGTGCAGCTGAGACCAGACTTCCACCCTGACTGGCCCACCTCCACTTCCCAAGTGCTGGGATTATACATGTGTTCTATCATACCCAGCTTTACAGTTAGCTTTTTTGCTACTACAGTTTCTCAGAGCTACACCAGTAGAGGGTTCATGTTCAATGGGGTACAGGTTCCCACTTCCTTAATCATACTCCGTGGGGGAGTGAGGTAGGGCGGAACCCCACTGTAACACATACCTCTGGTTCCCTAAGAACACCTTTTGTCCCTGATGTCATCACTTGGCATGTGGGATGCAAGGTATTGGGAGTCCATGCACATCGTTTTAGAGAGACAGCTGTGCCTGTACTGGTACTTGAGGGTTCAACCCTGAGACCCACCCCACACGGATCCAAACCCGAGTTTTCACACACACTGCCACTCACCTTCATCATGCAGCCTTCTGAGGTTTGGGTGGCTGGCTTGGTACTTGCTTTCCTGATCCTTACTTGTATTTATGGCTTCTTTCAATCTTTAGATGAAAAGAAAACATTAAAGAAAAGCATATATGACAGCGTCACCTCTGTGCTGGTGTGTGCACGGCGGCATCACTTGTCTTCCAGGACGCCATTGCTGCATATCCAATGCTTCCTTTGCTGACCTCACTGCAACCATCCTGGCAGTAGTGCTGGCCACACAGTGGGTTGACGAAGACCTTACTCAGGACAGGAGTCCTGGGCCAGGCGGGTGAAAGTGCATGAACTGACCAAGCGGATGCCTGTGATGAAGGATCAGCAAACTATGACCTACTATCTATTTCCCCTATTTTTTTTTTTTTAACGTAGTCCAGGCTGGCTGGCTTCAACCTCTACATGTAGCTGTTGAAGATCACCTTAAATTCCTGATGTTCCTGCCTCCACCTCTCAAGTGCTGGGATTACACCTCACCTGGCCCCACCCTTCTTTTATTGTGATAATATACACATATCATAAAAATCCATCAATTACTTATAGCCACAGCAAAGAATGGCTTTTACATATGAACACTTGCCCTGAATGGTAGGTAATGTCAACTGAGAAACTCAAAGTCTTTAAAAAACAACACACTAACCCACCTAGAGTCTCAGGGCTGGAGAGATGGCTCAGCAGTTCAAAGCACCTGCTTCTCTTCCAGAGGACACAAGCTCAGATCTAAGCACTCACATTGGGAAACCTACAACCACCTGTAACTCTAGCTCCATGGGATCTGACACTGTTCTGACCTCTGGGGGTATCCACATACATTTGAGAGACACACACAGAGGCACAAATTCACAACAAAACAAAACACTTAATTAAACACATACACACAGAATAGGTCTTTTTAGAATTGTATCATATGTGCGTTGTTGAGTGTGTCAGTGTACCCTGCACTTTCCCATTCTGCAGAGGCTGGACAACAAATGACACAGCTACCTCTCCCAGGCCTTGACAATTAACCCAAATATTTTCTTTTCAGGATCCTCTAAATATGCCTTTGCCCCCAGACAGCAGGAAGTAATTTTAAGAACACAAGGCTCACGTTCCCAAGAAGTGGGGTGGGTGGTTTTTGGTCATTCAGTGGGTTATGGATAATTGTCATTGTTTAGGATGGTTGGTTACAAGTTGTTATTGTTAATGGTCAGGAAAAAGGCTAAACAAAGGAGATTAGACTTACAGTTCTTGTTTGAAAAAAGAAAGAGAATATAAGATAAAAGGTATATTATTGAATCTACTCTGAAAAGAAAAAAGATACAGATATAAAAGGCAGATTATTGAATATACTCTGAAAAAAGAGAGAATATAGATATGATACGATAAAAAGGTAAATTATTGAATCTACTTTTAGAAAGCAACTACTAGTTTTAAATATTTTTCATTGGATTGGATTTTTGTGTATTGCATAAAAATTATGTATATTGATACAAATTTGAGATTGATTTTGTTAGAAAACATTGTACATATATTTCTCATCTTGTTCAAGGTATTGTACCTATACAGCTCATTTAACAATGTAATGCAAATTGCTAGTCCTTGAAAGTTATGATTACCAACTAATTAGGATATGAGAAATGCGAGTTAATACTCATTACAATCAAACTTGTAGTCACATTAGGTATGTTCTCAAGTCAAAAAGAAGTATATTTTAGATAGACAGGTCACCTTCAAACACTTCAGAGACCTACAGAATATGGCATTTAAGATGTTTTGAAAACATATTCTTTTTTTTTAATGACAATGAGACATGTCTGCTCCTGGCAACATCAATCTATGTCAGAGAAGATGATGGGCATCGAGGAGACTCCACATGGAGTTTACTTTCTTTGTGGCAAATTAGCCACTGAGCAAGAAAATGCCCTTGCCTTGACTGCTGACAGTATGCTGTACAAAATGGACAAGCAAGACACAAAAGAAAGGACTGTCAAACCTTGCAAAGACAAAGTATGACAGCCCTTCAGAAAATCCTGCTTCATAGATGAGTCTATCAGATATGCTAGGCCTGTAGGCTGAAGATGGATGCCCCAACATTGCAGAGAAATCTCAAATGACTGTCCAGACAGCCAGCTGTTTCTGTCATTTCTCACATTTTTTGGAAGTCACTTATTTGCACTTCCTGCTTACATAGGTAATATCACGTCCTTCTCAGGTCTCTGAGGGAGTTGAAGATTAGATAGTTATAGTTTTCCTTGTTAACAAATTCAGAGAAGAAACTCACTAAAGAGGTGGAAAAGTGTATAAGTTTGAAAGACATCAAAAGACAGTTTTGGGTTGGTAATACAAGTTACAATAGAAAGTGAATTAGGTACATTTTGGACTCACCAAAATAGGATAAATAATGGAGTTTTTTCTCTGAATCTGTCAAATGTTAATGGACTGGACATTGTTAATGTAATTCTTGACTTTATATATTGTATATACTTATTGTATATAGTTTTTCTTATATTAGTTATAATCTTCTTTTATTATTTTAGACAAAAAAGGGAAAATGTAGTGATATATTGTGTACCCTAATAAACTTGCCTGGAGACTGGAGGACAGAATCAGCCACTAGATTAGACATAAAGGCCAGACAGTTGGTGGCACATACCCTTAATCCTACCACTCAGGATCCTACCACCAGACCGATCTCTGTGAGTTCAAGGCCACACTGGAAACTGAGCCAGGCAGTGGTGGCACACACCTTTAATCCCAGTACTGGGAAGCACACACGCCTTTAATCCCAGAAAGTGACATGGCTGGGTGAAAGGTATATAAGGTTTGAGGAAATAGGAACTAAAGCAGTTCAAGACTTAGAGGATTTCAGTCAGAGGATTTGTGGAGTTGGTGAGGTAACAGGTGGTGGCTGTGGCTTACTCTGCTTCTCTGATCTTTCAGCTTTCACCCCAATATCTGGCTTTGGGTTTTTTATTAAAAGACCATCTAAGATTCAAACAACATGTCAGATCCTCTGGAACTGGAGTTACATACAGTTGTGAACTGTGGGTGCTGGGAATTGAACCCAGGTCCTCTGGAAGAGCAGTCAGTGCTCTTAACTGCTGAGCCATCTCTCCAGCCCCCAAAACAGGGTCTTATATATCCTAGGCTCCCCTTAAAATACTGATACCAAACTACCTACTCTGATTGCAGGCATGCACCACCCAGCTTAGCTAGTATTTCCCTCCCTCTCTCCTGTTTCTTTATTTGTTTACTTTTATTTGTGTGGGGCTGGAGAAATGGCTCACTGGTTAAGAGCATTTGTTACTCTTGCAGAGGACCTGAGTTTGGTTCTCAGCACCCACATGGTGGCTCACAACCATGTCTAATTTGTTGTTGTAGTGGTGGTACAGGCTTGTATTCCTGACACTTAGGAGATGGAGGTAGAAAGGTCAGGAATTCAAAGCTGGTCTTGGCTACTTTGTCAGTTTGAGGCGACCTGGGGCTACATGAGACTCTAACTCACCCAGCCCTCAAAAGAATTTCTTTGGAAGAGTTCGTCACAGAGAGACAGAGAGTCAGAGAGAGAGAGAGAGAGAGAGAGAGAGAGAGAGAGAGAGAGAGAGAGAGAGAGAGAGAATATGAATTTTGGCAGTCCATGCTGGATCAATGCCATCACTGTGGCATGGGTGACTCTTGGACTTCTCCCAAAAGAGGATAAGTGACCTCAACAGCGAGAACAGCTTTGGGAATGAAGGGCAGAAGCTTGTCAAAGGCCTAGAGCTGGCTTTCCAAATTATCTGAAGCCCATCAGGAATTCTTCTGTGGAGAGAGTTACTAGCTCGAAACAACTATGAGATGGGTGTGGACCACTTGGCAAATGCACTTGGTGCAAATGTCCCAGCAGGCCCTCCGTCACCAGTGCTGCAGGAGCTTCTGAGTAAGCATCCACTGGTCAGGGAGCTGCAAGTGCTCAGAGACTGGCTGAGGACCACCAAGGGAAGAGAGCAATGCCCAGCACAGGGTTATCCCACGAGTCTGTCTCTGGAGCCCAGCGAAGTGGAGGCTTAGCCCAGGGCTTCCAGAACGCTAGGCAAGCACTCTGCTGAAGGAGCTACATCCCCAACCCCTATATCCACGATTTACTAGTAAAACAGTATTCAAACTGTGTGCGGAGATTCGAGGCTATTATCCCAGAATTTGGGAGATGACAGCAGGAGGATCAGGAGTTCAGAGTCATCTTCAGCTAAATGTGAATTCAAGACCACCAGCCTTGGTTACATATTACTTGTTTCTCAAAAAATAAGACAAAACAAGAGCCTGTGAGAGATGCCTCATCAGGTAAGGATTTGTCACTAAATGAAACAACCCTAGTCCAACCTTTAGGACCCACATGAAGGAAGAAGACAATAAACTCCTGCAAGTGTCCTGATCGTGGCTGTGGCTTGCATTCCCCTCAAACACACACAAAATCAAAAACAAACAAACAAAAAAAACATAAAACAAGAATGACCCGAGGTATGAATAATGGTCACTAGTTTTAACAAACAGCCAATTCTTTCGTCTTTTTTTTAAAGATGGTTTTATGTGCATGAGTGTTTGCCTGCATGCATGTCTGTGCATCACGTCTGTGCCTGGTGCTCAGAGGTCAAGAAAGGACATTGAATTCCCTGGAATTGTTTTATGGATGCTTGTGAGCCACCACATGGGTGCTGGCAACTGAACCCAGACCCTCTGCAAGAGCACAGTGCTCTTAACCACTGAGCCATCCCTCTAGTCCTGCCTTGTCTTTGAACATGTGGTCCTGACAAGTCCTTACATACGATAGCACTGTATATCTGCCCAAAATTTTTGAGGTAAACAATCTGTAATTTTAAAGTGGAAATCAATAGACAGATTAGGTTAGATACAGAGAAGAATAATAAGTTTTTTTTATATTACTCATATGTATGATCCATTTTTTTTGTGGTGGTGGGGATGGAATCTAGGACTTTACCCATGCTAGACAAGTCTTCTACCAATCTACCATAGCCTACATCCATATATGCATATGTTTGCATATCTATAGCTATATATATGTGATATTGAGTTACATTTATTTATTGTGTGTGTACGTAACTCTAGCGATCAGAGGAAAATCTGCTGAAGTTTGTTCTCTCTTTCCACAATGTGGACCCCAGGGATTGCACTCAGGTCATCAGGCTCGCAGCAAGCGCCTTCACCTGGTGAGCCACCTCACCAGCCTAACCATATATATTTATTTCTTTTCTTTTGTTTTGTTTTTTAAAACTGGTCTCATGGCTGGTGTTGAAATCTAGGTCTTCCTGCCATAGCTTCCTAAGTTGTTTTGATCACAAGTATGCACCATTACATCTGGCTTGAACTTGCTATCCACCTGCCTCAGCCTCTTCAACAGCTGAGATTACACACAGGCCCTACTATGTCCACCTTTTGGGGTGACTTGGTAAAGAAACATTCTGTAAAAGGAGTCACATTTATATTGATGAAACTTTCTAAGACTGGAGTCACAATGACTAGGTAGGATTTCATCAATCAGATGAGCACAGTAGGGAAGGGGAGTGGCTTCTCTTTCAGCATGGCCAAAGGTGAGTAAGTCCCTTTCCACGAGTGACCACAGGGCTCCAGGATACCTGGAAGGCACTACAAAGCCTGAGAGCCTTGGCTCCTTCCACACAACCTGTTTCTACTGTTTTCTATGTTCAGACTGCAGACGCTACACTCACCTGCTGTTGGGCTGCGGGGTGATGCTGCCATTCTGTTCAGGTGGAGTCTCTACTGATTTGGATTTGAAGTAGTTGATAAATCCTCCAAACACACTCTTAATGCTGTTGATATGTTTCTGGCTTATCTTCAAATCCTGATCCATCTTGTCCACCATCTTCTCAGTGTGTTCTAGGACTCCTCGTTGCCGGACCAGCTCCTGAAGAAGGCAAGAGGTAGTAGCATCATGCCATTCCCCCACAAAAAAAACCACAGTATATTAAAGTCTGGGGCTGGGAATGTAGTTCAGCTGGTAGAGTGCTTATCTGGCATGCAAAAAATCCTGTGTTGGATCCTTAGCACTCTATCAACCAGGCACGGTCACACACACCTGTAATCTCACAAATTGGGAGGCAGAGGCAGGAGGATTAACTTAATGTTATATTTGGCTATAGAGTGACTTTGAGGCAAACTTGGGCCAGGTGAGATCCAGTCTCAAAAAAAGTCTATCCAGGAATGGTAGCCCATGCTTTTAATCCCAGCACTCAGGAACTTGGGGAAAAGAGACAGGTGGGCTGGTGTGACTTCTAGGCAGGTTCACGCTTTGTCTGGTTTCCCATAGGGCTGCTGCGGCTTCCATCCTTTTCTAGAGTATTAGTGTACAAAGTAACAGGCTTCCTTGTAATGTTCCCCACCCCAGACTTCTAGGTCAGACAAGGCTACATAGAAAGACCTGTTTCAAAAAAAAAAGTTTAATATTATTTACTTATTATTTTGGCTGAGGAGTGAGGGTCACACGTGAAGGTCAGATGATGACCTGAGAGAGGTCACTCACTTCTCACCTTTTACAGTGTTGGTCCTGAGGATGGAACCTAAGTTCTCAGGCTTGGCAGCAGGCATCTTTATGAACTGATCCAGCCCACTGGCCCATTCTTATGCCATTTTCACACATACTTTTGATTTACTTCCCTATTCTCCTCTGTCCCTGCTGTACCCTGCAGCCCCACCCCCACTCTTCCTTCCACTTACACATCCAATGTTCCAGGACCCTCCCCACTTATTTTAAAGACCTCCTCCCACAACCTATGGGCCTTTCAAGTTTCAAGGACTCTGCCTATACTTGTTCCCACTTAAACAGACATGTTTTACAGTTAGAAACTAGGATTCAAATCCAGCATGGTGGCGTACACCTTTAACCTCAGCACTCAGGAGGCAGAGTAGGCAGATCTCTGAGTTTGAGGTCAGCCTGGTCTACAGAGTGTGTTGGCAGAAGTTCCTGTCCAGATTGCCTGCTCCCAAATAACCAACACAGAGGTTTAATATATTACTTATAGGGCTGGAGAGATGGCTTAGAGGTTAAGAGCACTGACTGCTCTTCCAGAGGTCCTGAGTTCAATTCCCAGCACCCACATGGTGGCTCACAACCATCTGTAATGAGATCTGGCACCCCATCCTGTATACATAATAAATAAATAAATCTTTAAAAAAAAATATTACTTATAAATGCTGGGCCAATAGCTCAGGCTTGTTACTAGTTAACTCTTACACTTCAATTAAGCCATATTTCTTATCTATGCTTTGCCATGTGGCTTATGGTTTGTTACCTCATTTTCTATACGTTCTGTTTCCTAGGCAGCTGGCTGGCACCTCTGCTGACTCCACCCTTCCTCCTCCCAGAATCCTCTATGTCTGGCTGTCCCACCTATACTTCCTGCCTGGCTACTGGCCTGCCAGCTTTTTATTAACCAATAAGAGTAATACATATTTAAAGTATACAGAAAGATTATTCCACAGCATTTCTCCCTTTCTGTCTAATTAAAAAAGGTTTTAACTTTAACTTTAAGTGAAACTATATATAAAAAGTTATTAAGCTGGGCAGTGGTAGTGCACGCATTTTAATCCCAGCACTTGGGAGGCAGAGGTAGGTGGATTTCTGTGAGTTCAAGGACAGCCTTGTCTACAGAGTGAGTTCTAGGATAGACTCCAAAGGTACACAGAGAAACCCTGTCTCAAAACAAAACAAAAAAACAAAATGGTTATTAAGTAAGAATTACAGTTATAACATCCAGTCCATTTGTATTTGGCAAATTTAGAGAAAAACTCAATTATCTATCTTATCTTGGTGAGTTTAAAGTTTTATATCTAATTTACCTTTTATCATAACTAAGGAAAACTATAACTATCTAGTCTTCAACTCTAGCAAAGACCCCAGAAGAGTGAAACATTACCCAATGACAGGGACATCTTGCTGCCTGGACAGTCACCCAAAGTTCCTCTGTAACATTGGGACATCCAACTCTGGCCTACAGGCCTAGCATATCTGACAGACTTTGCTGTGAAGCAGGAATTCTGAAGGACAGTCCTACCCTGTCTTGGCAAAGTTCTGCAGTCACCTTACTTGCATCCTGCTGGTCCGGTTTGGACAGTATATTGTCAGCAACTGAGGGCAGTTTCTTTGCTCATATGACTAGCTTTTGCCATAAAGAAAGCAGACTCCATATGGAATTTCTTTGATGCCCATCATCTTCTCTGAAGTAGATTAGTGTTGCCTGGAGCAGATGTGTTTCACTGTTATGAAAAGCCTTAGGTTATTTAAACATCTTAAATGCAATATTCTATCGGTCTTGAAGTGTTTAAAGACCATCTATCTAAATATATCTGTGTATGACCTTGAAAACATACCTAACATGACTGTAAGTTGGACTATTTCAAGGTTATAATTGAGAAGGAGTTTGTATTACTTCCAACATTTTTGTTGTTGTTGTTGTTTTTTTTGTTTTTGTGGCTTTTTGAGACAGGGTTTTACTGTGTAGCCCTGACCGTCCACCTCGAACTCACAGAGATCCGCCTGCCTCTGCCACCTGAGTGCTGGGATTAAACTGCCTCCACAGCCTGGCACAACTGTTTTTTGCTGTTCTGGTTGCTCAGTTTATTGAAAGTTCTTTTCTTCTTCCTCTAGTGGTGTTAAATGTTTTCTGGTTTGCTGTACTGGACATGATTGATTTCTTCTCAGTTCTCTGTGTGTTCCTTTCATGAAATGTCCTTCTCCCTACGTTCTTGTGTGTGAAACTGCCTTTCTTCTTCCTCATTGTATGACATTAAGAATTTTCTGGAGTATTGACTTAGTTGTCATAAATTGCCTTATCTTGTGCATGTTCTGAAATATTCCTCTGTCTATTTTAATAGATAATTTTGCTAGATATTGCATCTTGGTGGATGGTCACTGACTTTCAGGACTCAAATTCTATCATTCCATGTTTCTTGGCCTTTGGGGTTGCTGACAACAGACCCGGCGTTCTGAAGTTTCTGCCTCTGGATGTTAGGGGTTATCTTGCCATAGATTATTTTTCTTAGAGTATTATTTCTTTGCTTTGTATTTTTGACTGGACTATGATATGTCATGTCTATGAGGTGTTAAATGCTTCCTGTGTTTGGATATCTGCTTCTTTTTCTAGATCTGAGAAATTCTTGGCCATATTCGTTGAGTAAGTTGTCTTAAGTCATTTGAATTTATCTTAGCTCTTACAGTTCTTAGGTTTGGCTTCCTGAATGAATGCAGAGTTCTTGGTTGTTTTGGTTACATTCACTAGTGTTTTGTTTTTATACATGTCTCCATTTTACTGTCTCAAATTTGCCTTCCACACCTGAGATTTGTTCTTCTAATTGGTCTTGTCTGCTGGTGATGCTGGTTTTTTGTTTTCATTTTCATTAGTTGATTCTTTCATTTCCAGAATTTTGTTTGGTTTTTAGGGTATCAACTTCCCTGTGAACTTTTCCTCTACATTTATAAAATTTTATTCTAAGTTATTGATTCTTTCCCTGACTTTGGTAACTTTCTTATCTACGTCTTGAGTTGATTTTATAATTTTCTTGTTTAGGAATGAATCTATTTGAGTCTTCTATGTGATCACTGATCTTTTTTGTTGTTGAGACAGGCTCTTGCTATGTAGCCCTGGCTGGCATGGACTTCATTGTATCAATCAAGATGACCTTAAACTCTCAGAGATCCACCTGCCTCTACCTCCTGAGGCTGGGATCAAAGGAGTACACCACCATGCTGGGCCTTGATCATTGATCTGCTTACAAAGAAGGAATTTTAGCTTTGTTTTCTTTCATTTCTATTTGTGCTGGTTAGTTTTTGTCAGGTTGACACAAACATACATATATGTGGGGAGAAGGACTCTTAATTAAGAAACTGCCTTTGTAAGACTAACAAGTCTGTAGGGCATTTTCTTAATTAGTGATTGATGTGGGAGGGGCCAGCCCATTGTGGGTGGTGCCACCCCCTGGCAGGTGGTTTTGGAGTGTATAAGAAAGTAGGCTGAGCTAGCCATGGGGAGCATACCTGTTATCAGCTTCCTCCATGGTCTCTACATCAATTCCTCCTTCCAGGTTCCTGCCCTGGCTTCCCTCAATGATGGACTTACAAGCTGTAAGATGAAACAAACTCTTTCCTCCCCAAGTTGCTTTTAGTTGTGGAGTTTTATCTCAACAATAGAAACCCTAACTAAGACGCTATCCCATCATCACTTCCCAGTGTTGAGAAGTTGTCAGTGTGTGAGATGTTGTAGTGGAGTGTTGTCTTGTTTTTTGTTTCTTTGGGTGTTCTGTATGTACATCTGCTGGAGTAGATGTGTCCTCTGGTCTTTCCACCCTTTGTCCCACTGTTTATGTCTTAACTTCAGAATGGAAGTCAGGAAATGTGTTGTGTTGGGGGAGAGGCTTTGCTTTTGTATCCACAGAAAATGAAAAGCTATGGATTCCTTCAAAATTAATAAAGATCAGATTTGACTGGGGGAGACCTCCTGAAAATCTTGGCTACAGACATGAAGAAAGAAACCAAGAAAAACTACATGACAGGTGACGTGGGAACAGCTCTGAGATGGGATGAGATATGATAAGTTTTGTTGGCTATAGAGTCTTCACGACTTATTATTACAAGCCATCCTTTCATATGGCATGGATGGAGATTTATATTACAGTTTGGTTATGCAGTCTAAACCATCTTAAAAAGATGACAGATGCCTTTTACCAGCTGAACTATAGAACAAAAATCATCTTTAGCTTATTTGTGAACAATGCACATTTCATACTGTGTAAATACAGATGTGTATGTTACCTTTAAAAGTTTGTGTGTTTTCAGAACAAAAGGACCAGACACCCATGAAAACAAGCAGCCCAGGTGATTCAGCCTCAAAGAATGCCTCTGTTGCCATTTCC